AGCAGAGACAAATTTTGGATTGATAACAGGAAAATCCTTCTAACAAATGGTGCTATCAGAGTAGAATGAGCTGCGTTGATCAACATTAGGTTCTCCTTAATCAAGTATCTTCAGGTAGGAACTAATGGCCCCTTATTGAACACTATGATAGTGGAGATTCTTTTTTGATAGAGGGTGGTATTAGATAACCACAGGGTTTACTTTTGACTCTAAAAATTGTGTGATTCTAATGCCAGAGATATGAAGTAAAGTTAATATTTCAAATATTCCTTTTTGAAAGGTGCATTTTTAACTTTTTATTCATTTCAACTCATTTTTAAAGTCATATTTCCTAATTCTTCTTTAAAAACTAAATTTCCTATACTTTTAAGAAACTGGGTACTAAATGATTAGATTTTTATTATCTTGGCATTAAGGCAAAATCAGGAAAAGAATATATATTTTTTTTAAATTGCCCTTTCCTCATCATTTGAAAGCAATCTTTTTTTTTTATTAACTCCTTTCCACTAATTCAGATAGAAAGAATTCACAAATCATCTACAGAAAAAGAAAAAAATATCAAATGCTGCAAACTCCAAGTGGTTAAATTCATCAATTCAATTGATATTGTAAATTATTTTTACAATGAATTCTACAGTAAGTTCTGCAAACCATCAAGAGAAAGATCTTCAAATACAAAAGGAAGGACTTTCAAATAACACAAGACTATTCTGCACCCTCTAGAAAATGTAGGAGGAAATGGAATAATGTGTTCTAAAGATCAATAGTTTTCAGGATACAGACCAGGGTGACCTATCCTGCAAGTCTGAACTTAATCATGCAGGACAAAAGATGGACATTCAGTAATAAAGTGAAACATATCTAGAAAGAAAACCAGAACTGATGAGATTATTTGCCTCTCAAACACCCCAAACAACAGAAACACAGGGGGAGTGAATAAATGCAGCAGGCAAGGACAGTAAGAGCAACAAAATGACAACAGGGAGACCAGTAAGAGGCTTTTTTCAAAATGTATACAAGAAGACAGGCAGAGGTAAGAGTGAAGAAACAGATGCAGTATTATGGATAAAACTTGGCAACACCTTACCTTCAGGGGAATGCTTCTGTTATGGGATTACATTACAACCTGAGAGGGTACATAAAGGGAGCAGGGAAGAAAAGAGGGGGAAGGAGAAGAATGAATGATGCACTGAAGTCAGTGAAGGGCCGGCAATGAGGGGAAGGTGATGTAATCTCAGAAAGAGAAGAGCCTAGAAAGGAGTGGTTGAGGAGGGGGAGGGGATTAAAAAGGAGGGGAAAAGGAAAGAGGTCTTTCGAAGTGGAAAGTGATTTCACTGTAGAATGCTCCTATGAGTGAAAAGAGATAGTTCATAAAAGATGAGGACCTTACATTGGATGAAGCTTCAGAGATTTGGTGCTTGAAAAGTCTACTTGTCTGGGGCAGCTAGGTGGTGCAGTAGATAGAGCACTGGCCCTGAACTCAGGAGGACCTGGGTTCAAATCCGGCCTCAGACCAAACACTTGACACCTACTAGCTGTGTGACCCTGGGCAAGTCACTTAACCCCAATTGCCTAAAAGAAAAAAAAAGTCTACTTGTCCTGGAAGTTGGAAGAGAGGGAGTTAGAACCTGGATGAGACTTCCAAGCAAATATAAAAAAAAAAAATCAACAAGAGAGGATATAGATCAATGGTGGGCTGCTGCATAAACAGGGCTGTGGTGTGGGAGGGCCCTAACACGGGGCAGTATCCTCTCTGACACTTGCAATAATTGTCATTATTTTGTAAATGAGGCACAATGGAAAAGGGCAATCCTTGAGACAAGCCTTACTGACATGAAGGGGAGTGCCTAGAATGGATAACTTGGAAGCTTTGCTAGCATGAAGAATATAGAGAAAAGAAAGAGACAGATAATTATAGGCATCATGATTAAGAGAATGAGGGAATAGAGTAAACAGAAAGAAGAGAAGGATAATGAAGAGAATGAGAGAAATGTGTTTTTGGAAAGAGGTACAAAAATTGAAGGGGAGGACTAGAAGTGAGGATATCAAATGAGAAGAGGGCATCAGAGGTGTGAGAAAGAGAACCAGTGGGAACAGACACTTTAAAAAAAAGATTAAAGTGAAGTAACTGAAGGAACATAATACTGTGTTTACAACAGAAGAGGGAACTTGAAACTGAAAAGCTTCTGTACAGACAATATTAATATATCTAGGATAAGGAGGGAAATGATAGAATGGGGAAAAAATATTTGTGTCAAATTTCTCTGGTAAAGGTTTGGCATCCAAGATATATAAACAATTACATATTTTATAAATATATGCACATACATTAAAAAAGTAATAGTCACTCCCCAATAGCTAAATGTTCAAAGGATATAAACAGTTCTCAAAAGAATTGCGAAGTATTTACAATCAACTAAAAATGTTCCAAATCACTAATAATAGGACATATACAAATCAAAACAAGCCAGGGATTTTACCTTATACTTTCCCAACTTCAGATTGACAAAAATGACCCCCAAAATGGCAATAGTCAATGTTGGAGAGGTGGTGAAAAGATGGACACGCTAACATATTGTTGGTGGAGCTATAAAATGGTAAAGAGCATTTTGGAAAGCAATTTGGAATAGGCAAATAAAGTGACTAAAATGTTCATACTCTTTTGACCAGAGACTCCATTACTGAGCTTGTTCCCCAAGGAAGCTATTGATAAGAAAAAAATACCCACCTATTGCAAAATATTTCTAGCAGCACTTTTTGTGATACCCACCAATTGGGGAATAGCTAATCAAATTGTGGGATATTGTGATGTAAGAAATAATGTGTATAATGAATACATAAAAGCATAAAAAATTTATGTGATGCACAGTGAAGTATGCAGAGCCAAGAAAATAATATAAATCGTAACTACAACGATGTTAATGGAAACAACACACTCAAAAAAAATCAAAAGTAAATGTAACGTAATTATAAAGATCAAAGGAAACTCAAATGAAGGGATATGAGAAGACACCCCTAACCTATCCCTTTGTGGAGATGGAACATCCACTGCATATGTTGTTGGACTTTCTCAAAGCATTGATCAGTTGTACTGATTTTTCTTTTTCTATTTGTCATATGGGATGGCTGTCTGGGAGGGGGAAGGATACATAGGATACTATGGCAATGGAAGAGACATAAAACATCAATAAAAACATATTTTAAAAAACAAATAAAATACATTTAAAAGCATTGGGAAGCAGGTAGGTACCATGAAGGATAAAGTGTTGGACCTACAGTCAGGAAGATCCAAATTTAAATATGGCCTCAGACATTTACTAGCTGTATGACACTGGGCAAGTTTCTTTAAAAAAAAACAATTGAAAACCTGTTTTTCTTAGCTTTCCCCAAATGAGGATGATTGAGAGACTTTTTTGAAGATGAAATGAGATAGTATTTGTAAAGCACTTACTTAGCACAATGCCTAGCAAGTAGGAGCAATGCTTTCTACCTTTCTCCTTTCTGTCACAGCTGAACCATTTTAAGAGTTAGTGAGTAAATAGTTATGAAAAACGTGTTTCATGTTACAAACATAAAGTGCTATGGAAATGTTAAATAATAGGGAACTATAAGACTTATTATTCTATTTAGTTCTGCATTAAGGTACAATTCCCTTGTCAAACCTGCTTTATTAAGATGCAGGCAAACTTCACCCCATTTAAAAGGGTTACATTCTAATTTTACTGTGGTTCTGTACTTAGAAGAATGGATGTGGAGACAGTGATAAGGCAGTAGATAATAGGTTCAGAAAGATTAATTGGGTGACTGTAATTCAGTCTAAAGTTCTAACTGTATTACAAAGGTTTATGAGATCATCAGAACTCTTGGAACTGAATTACATCTTCAGTAATCAGTCTCTCTTCTTTCTCCATTCCCATTTTTATCACATGTAGAAAATGCATGTTTTTGAGACCATAAAACAATTTATTGAGGACATGTAGAGGAAATTATTGAGGATTTTTATACTAGACAGGTTAAAGAAAAAATTGCAAAGGCATCAAACTAGCAAGTATAAAAATTAAAGACTTAAGGGTCAATTTCCCGCTAAACAGTTCTTTTATCAAAGGCAAAAGAAGGCAACCAGCCCACCATGAAGTATAATATATCCAGAATGGGAAGGGACTTGAAAGACCGTCTAAACAAGGTCTTCATTTTACAGATGAGGAGCCTGAGGTTCAGGGATGTTAAGGGACTTACCCAAGATCACATAGTAAAACAAGTGCCAGTGATGTGACTTGAATCCCAGTTTTCAGATTCTAGAGACAATATTCACATACACTCAAACACATACACACACACACACACACACACACACACACACACAGATTAATTACTGAAATTTTGCAGAATCTTGTCTGACAAATTGCCAAGTCCCTGGCAATCCCCCCATTTTGGCCTCTTAATTTCCCTGATGGGACAGCTAGGTGGTACCGTGGATAGAATGCCAGGCCTGGTGTCAGGAAGACTCATTTTCCTTAGTTCAAATCTGGCCTCAGACAATTCCTAGCTGTGTGGCTCTGAGCAAGTCATTTAACCCTGTTTGCCTCAGTTTCCTCATCTGTAAAATGAGCTGGAGAAAGAAATGGCAAACCACTCCAGAATCTTTGACAAGAAAACCCTAAATCAGGTCACAAAGGGTCAGACACAACAAAATCTCCCCGGTGCTAAATCTCTCCCTGACATATGCTTTCCCCAAATATCTCAATCTTTGCATCTTGGCTCTCTGCACCCACCCCATATCATCAGCCAAAGTTGGATTTATTCTTATTTTCAGCCTAACAATCCAGCTATTGAAAGATATGACACCTGCTAAATCTGGTTAAAAATATATGAATGGTTTGATGTAATAAAATAGAGTTTAGTTTATAAAAATCCCTCCCTGTACTTTACGTCAAATAAAATTAACTAGTTCCATAACTCAGATAAAAATAAATCTCCACATAGAAATGGATATATCTTACTTCAAATGGGAGCTCCGTTAATTCTAGATTTCCAGACAAATCCAGTTTCTCCAGATTTTCACAGTCTCCTAATTCTGGAGGAACACTCTTCAGATGGTTGAAACTCACATTGAGTTCTTTCAGGCTCTTCAAATAACCTGTTGCCATAGAAGGTTGCCATCAGTTGAACAGGTGTCATTTGAAAGAAACAAAGTCATTTATGAAACATTTGAATGAAACAATAATCATTGTAGAGGGAATTAAAATTGAATAGTCCATTTATGAGCAGAAAAAATAGGTGAATTCCCAGGTATTTTACCCCTCGATTATAAATTATCAAATAGTTTTTCATCGTTTCATGTTATGTTCCTTGTTTTACCTTCCCAATGAAATTACATGAACCTTCAAAGTAGGGAATATACTTTCTTATTGCCCTATATTCCCACCTCAGCATGAAGCACAGGTATTAGCCATACAGTAAACCTAAAGCGATAACTACAATGGGCCAACTTAGGCTTTGCTCTAAAGCACCAAAATTTAGAGGAGATAAAAATTATAAATAAGTATTTGAAAAGATTCAGTATTTTTAAAATACATTTACAAATTGACAGCACATATATCTCTTTTAAAAGCATAGAAACAACTGAATTGAGGACCTAGTTAGCAAGAAAAATTAGTTAAAATATGAAGCAACTAGACAGTCACATTATTAATAAGATCCATGTATGGGCCTATAATAATTAATTCCCTCTCCAGATCACATGAATTTGCCTTAATTACTTCTTGAATTATTTTCACCTCATATATTGTGAAATTGATGACAGAATGTCTTATGTTACTTCTTTTGGGGATGTTATTTGTTTCAGCTACCAAAAGTGATAAACATTCATAAAATGTCTTTTGAATTGAGTTGGATTTATAAAAAAAAATAAGCAACTGCATTCAATTCATTCAATTAATTCTGTTTACATTCAATAAACAGTAAGAGCTTACTTTGCAGCATTTAATAGAGGCAGCTTGATGTAATGACTTCAGATTCAGGAAGCCCTATTTTCAAATCCTGTCTCAGACACAGAATGGCTATAGAACACTAGACACATCCTCAGACAATCCAACCATAAAGCAGGTTCCCATCTACATTGGTTGAGAGTTATTTTCATAATTATTATGTATTTATGAGAGACAGAGATAGAGATAAATGAAGAAAGGCAGAGACAGAGACACAGGGACAGAGAGAGAAAGGAGACAGAGACAGAGAAAGTGACTATCCATACATTTATTTTGTGTTCCAAAAGTCTTAGTGCAGTTTTAAGCTTTAGCAATTTTGGGGACAACCTGGATAGGGCTCATGTCATTCCCCATAAAAGACTAATGTCTACTTCAAAATTCAGCCATTATTATTTAGGAATAATTAGAAGCATTATGATGTAGGTACTGAGGAAAATGCAAAATGTCCCTGCCCTCATGGAGCTTACAGTCTAGTAAACGAATGTCTCATACATTGATAACTAAAATTACACTGAGATGCTTTATAAATATATTAAGGAGGGTCTATTTTAAGGTGCTAGGTAAGTATGGGGTGATAAAAACCATTATCAAAAGAGGTAGGAAGGAGAAATCTAATTTCCCTGTCCAGTTCACTTTTCAGAACTCCACTGAAGATAATGGAAGTTATAGTTAGTTGATTTCAAACTCCTGCAACATTTATGGATGTTCCAGGGATATGTGGAATTTAATTTCTACTTCAGTTAAACTTCTGGAATTTTATAATTTTTTTGATTACCATGAGAGAAAACAAAAACAAAAAACAATCAAACAAACTAAAAAAACTCCCCCACCAGGTTATTATGTATACTCAGAAGAATTTATAAGGAAATATGTATTCTAATTCAACATTAGATAAATAGTCATAGATGTATTTTCAGATTCATATCCCCAGTTCAAAACACATCTATAAGCAGCAGGGGTATCTAGCTCTACAAAAACTATAGTAATGTACAAAGTAACTGGGACAAAGTATAATAATTAAACTCTTATACAATGAAGCTTACAGCTTTTTATATCTTTAAAGAACTTTTAATATGCAATGTTGCAGCTAGGTGGCACAGTGAATAGAGTGCTGGGGCTGAAGTTAAGAACTTGCTGTTTGGACATTTTTCAGTTGTGTCTGACTTCTCATGACCCCTTTTGGGGTCTTCTTGGAAAAGATACTGGAATAGTTTGCCATTTCCTTCTCCAGCTTATTTTGTAGATAAGGAAACTAAGGCAGTCAGGGTTAAGTGACTTGCCCAGGGTCACACAGCTAGTAAGTATCTGAGGCTAGATTTGAACTTAGGAAGAGGAGTCTTCCTAACTACAGGCCCAGAACTCTATCCAAAGAAGCATGACCTGAGTTCAAACCCAGCCTGGGCAAGTCATTTAACCTCTTACTGTCTCAGTTTCTTTATCTGTAATATGAGGATTATACCACCTACTTCACAGAATTGTTGTGAAGATCAAATGAGATAGTAAAGCACTTTTACACATTGCATGGTACATAGTTGGCACTTAATAAATGCTTGTTCCTTTCTGTTCTTCCAATATATCTTCCACCGAGTATTGTGATTAATTGATAAATAATCATTAAATAATTAATTAAATTGATAATGATCAAATGAATATTGTTATGTCAAAATTAATCATTTTACATGATTTGGCAATGAGAAAGGAGTCACAATATTTTGATATATTCTTTTATTCTTTATCAAGAAACCACATCATTTGTACATTTTTATTATAAATGTTGGAGACAGTCCAGCCTTGATTACTATACATAGGATTTTAATGGGATGTAAATCAGATAAATTCTAAGACCATTGAAGCATATTTTTCTCTGTCTTTTGGATAAATTTTTTAATCTTTCATGACATGTGGCATGGTAGAAGTTTGTGTTATGGTATTAAATCTCCATTTGGGAATTTCTATAATTTTGGAACGGTTTTGTTTCTCAGGTTACTAATATGATTTATCTTTCAATGGGGACAAGTTTTGAAAGCTCATACTTTAAAAAAAAAAACCAAACATGTTTTTGAGTGTTAATGTTTAATTGTCTTCTGGTAGTTGTTTTGGTACACCCTTAAATGAAAAACTGACTTTCATCTGGTATAAATTTTTGTTGTTCCTAAATTGTTTCAGTCATGTCTGACTCTCCATTACTCCATTTGGGATTTCCTTGGCAAAGATGCTGGGGTGGTTTGCCATTTCCTTCTCTAGCTCATTTTACACATAAAGAACTAAGGCAGGGGCACAGCCAAGATGGCAGAGTGAAAGCAGTGACTTGCCTGAGCTGTCCCCCCAACCCCTCCAAATACCTATCAAAAATGGCTCTAAACAAATTCTAAAGCAGCAGAACCCACAAAAAGACAGAATGAAACAATTTTCCAGCCCAAGAGGGATGGTTGATCAGAAAGGTATATCGCACGTAGTTTGATATGGACAGAGAACCTGGAGCAGGCCTCAGAGATTGAATCGTGGGCAGCTGTGGAGGTTTCCAGACTTCTCAACCCATGAACACCAAAGACAACTGAGAAGGTCGGTGGGAAAAATCTGTTTCTACAGTGAGAGAGAAGCGCAGTGGTCTCAGCCCCAGAATCCGCGCCCGGGGTGGTGTCTGCCTCCTGAGCTTCCAGTCCACAGACTGAGGGAGAATCAAGTGGCTGATCACAGGGGGACTGCAAGGATCTCTTTGCCGGTGCTGAGGCAGGAATCTCTTGCTTTGCCTGTGCTTGGATGATCTGGGTCACAGTTCCGAGGGGTGGTCCTGGGGCGAGGAGGAGAGCAGGAGAGGTGGAGCTTGTAGTGGCTGTGGAGAGGAAATTCTCCTCACAGACCAGAGCACAGGCCAGGAAAGGAGTAAACACCTCACTCCTTATCATACCACCTTGGAAGAGCTGAAAATTTACAGGACCCTAGAAGTATCTCTGAAAATAGCTGTACAAACCCCCAAAGCTTGGGACAGTATATTCTCTACATTGGAAGCAGATTCTTACCTTAAAGAGTTTAAAACTAAAATAATTAGCTGGGATCATGAGCAAGCCTCACAAAAAGAGTCAGACTATTCTTACTTTGGTGACAAAGAAGATCAAAACACAACCAAAAGAAGACAACAAAATCAAAGCTCCTATATCCAAAGCCTCCAAGAAAAATTTGAATCAGTCCCAGGCCTTGGAAGAGCTCAAAAGGGATTTTGAGAAGCAAGTAAGAGAAGTAGAGGAAAAACTGGGAAGAGAAATGAGAGTGATACAAGAAAATCATGAAAAACAAGTCAACAGCTTGCTAAAGGAGACCCAAAAAATACTGAAGAAAATAACACCTTAAGAAATAGCCTAACCCAAATGAAAAAAAGAAGTCCAAAAAGCCAAAGAGGAGAAGAATGCCTAAAAAGAAAAATTGGCCAAATGGAAAAGGAAGTCCAAAAGATTACTGAAGAAAATACTTCCTTAAAAATTAGAATAGAGCAATTGGAAGCTAGTGACTTTATGAGAAATCAAGACACTGTAAAACAAATCCAAAAGAATGAAAAATTAGAAAACAATGTGAAATATCTCATTGGAAAAACAACTGACCTGGAAAATAGATCCAGGAGAGAGAATTTAAAAATTATTGGACTATCTGAAAGCCATGATCAAAAAAAGAGCCTAGACATCATCTTTCAAGAAATTATCAAGGAAAACTGCCCTGATATAGTAGAACCAGAGGGCAAAATAGAAATTGAAAGAATCCACTGATCTCCTCCTGAAAGAGATCCCCAAAGGAAAACTCCTAGGAATATTATAGCCAAATTCCAGAGTTCCCAGGTCAAGGAGAAAATATTACAAGCTGCCAGAAAGAAACAATTCAAGTATTGTGGAAACACAATCAGGATAACACAAGATTTAGCAGCTTCTACATTAAGGGACCTTAGGGCATGGAATGTAATATCCCGGAGGGCAAAGGAGATAGGATTACCTACCCAGCAAAACTGAGTATAATCCTTCAGGTGAAAAAATGGTCATTCAGTGAAATAGAGGACTTTCAAGCATTTTTGATGAAAAGACCAGAGCTGAATAGAAAATTTGACTTTCAAATACAAGACTCAAGTGGAACATGAAGAGGTAAACAGGAAAGAGAAATCATAAGA